CTGATCTGCCTCATCCGGGAAGAGCGCAATGATGGTGCCAACTTGGGCCAGTGAAGCAGCGTCCTCCACAACTAGATTGAAGAACAAGACGACAGCAACTTGTCTGTTCCCCTTCCCCCAATTCCCCATCACTGTTCCCATCCCCCCAATTACCCAATAAAAATCTAAAAAAAAAAATGACCCTTACTGGATAATAGTTTATAGTCTTTTATAGCTTAGAAATTCATTTATGTATGTTATATCATTAGATGCTCACAGAAGCCTCTAAACAGGGTTTGGCAGGTATATTATTGGGTTGTTGGAAAAGTCATGATGTATTTTTTCTATGTTTTTTGTTGCAAAAATGCATCATGACTTTTCCGACAAGCCAATATTATCTCACGCTTTACAGAGGAGGAATCTGAAGTTGAGTGACTTGCCCAGAATATATGGCAGAGATGAAAATCCAATTCCTATCAAAGTCCCAATGGCATTTTTTTTGCAGAAATTGATATATCCAGCCTAAAATTCATATGAAATCTCAGGGGACCTTGAATAGCCAAAACAATCTTGAAAAAGGACAAAGTTGGAGGTCTCACAGTTCCTGATTTAACAACTTATTACAAAGCGATGGTAATCAAAACAGTATGGTACTGACATAAAGAGAGACAAATAGACCAGTGGAATAGAATAGAGAGCCCAGAAATAAACTCTCACATATATGGTCAAATGATTTTTTATAAGGATGCCAAGAGCATTCAGTGGGGAAAAAGTCTTTTCCACGAATGGTAACAAGGAAAAGCTGGGAAAACTAGGTCTTGAAGAGATATTTGTACATTTATGTTCATAGCAGCATTATTTACAACAGCCAAAAAATGGAATTGATCCAAGTAGCCATTGATGAATGAATGCATGGATAAACAAAATATTACTCAGTCTTAAAAAGGAAGGACATTATAAAACATACTGCAACATGAATGAAATCTTGAGGATATTATGCTAAGTGAATTAAGCCAGTCACAAAATGACAAAAATTGTCTGACTCCACTTATATGAGGTATCTGAGAGCAGTCAAATTCATAGAGACAGAAAGTAGAATGGTGGTTGCCAGGGGTGATGGAAGGGGAAAATCAGGAGTGGTTTAATGGCTGGAGACATTCAGTTTTCTTTTTTTTTCCCCCCAAAGATCTTATTGGGGAATTGGGAAAGGGGAACAGCCAAGTTGTTGTCCTTCAGTCTTAGTTGTGGAGGGCGCAGCTAGCTCAGCTCCAAGTACAGTCACCATCTGGCCACTCAGCTCAAGGTGCTGTGTTCAATCTTAGTTGCGGGTGGGCATAGCCCAACATCCCATGTGGGAGTCGAACTGGCAACCTTGTTGCAAAGAGCCCACGCTCTAACCACTGAGCCATCCTGCCACCTGTTGGCAGCTCAGCAGCAGCTCAGCTCAGGCACAGCTCACTGGCCCATGTGGGAATCGAACCGGCAACCCTGTTGCCCAGAGCTGTTGCTCTTAACCAACTGAGCCACTCGGCCAGCCCAGATTTAGTTTTCTTTTAATTGATGATTTAAAAAATTTATTTTTCAATTACAGCTGACATAGAATATTATATTAGTTTCAGGTGAACAACAGAGTGATTAGACATTTATATACCTCATGAAGTAATCACCCCAATAAGTCTAGTTCCTGTATGTAGGGTTTCAGTTTTGCAAGATGAAAAGTGTTCTGGAGATTGGTTGAACAACAGTATGAATACACTTAACACTACTGAACTGTACACTTAACATTGGTTAAGATGGGAAATTTCATGTTATGTATATTTTATCACTATTAAAAAAACAAAGGAGAATAATCTTCCCAATTCCACTTTGTATAAAAGTGGTTGATTTATCTTGAAGTCTGAACTCTTAAGGTGGTTTCTTTGGGGGAAAAGTCATTAGAATTCTGGGGAGTGAGTGACCCCCATCAGGAGCTGCCGGAATCTCCACAGTCACAGGCTGTGCCACACAAATCCATTTCTCCCTGCCCACCCCACTTTGATGGAGGCTGACAAATCCACCATCATCACCCCCTTCCTTTTACTTCTTTTTTTTTTGCTAATTTTTGTTGACTTTCTGCCATTTGTAACTGAAAGTTTTGATTCATGTAATTGGGGAAGGGATAGATTTTGAATTTATCCTCTAACCTCAATGATACCCCCTATTTTTCTTTTGGGATGATCCCCATAACAACACTCACCCTACGTCCGAACTCTTCTCCTTGCTTCACTTCCTGAGGATAGCCGTCAATCAGGAAGCCCTTGGTGTGGCCCAGGCTGGCCACCATGGCCTCCTTCAGGAGCTCCAGGATGATGCCCTGCAGCAGAGGGAGAGTGCACTGTCAGGACCTGAGCTCTTTTACAGAACAAAACTAGGATTCTCTCAGGTCTCCTAAGGCATCCCATTGCGGGAGGGAGAAAGGTTCAGACAAGAATAACAGCAGATCCACAACTAGATTGAGGAACAAAAGGACAGCAACTTGTCTGTTCCCCTTCCCCGATTTCCAAACGCTGTTCCCTTCCCCCCAATTCCCCAACAAAAAAATCTTTAAAAAAACAAACAGAAAATCTTTAAAAAAACAAAAAAACAGCCGACAGCCAATATGCCATATTGCATCAATTCTAAGTCTTATTCTTCCTCCTGACCCACATTTTAATGTCTATGAAGTTAGCAGGTATCTTATATCAGAACTGGGGTATAGTTTAATTGTTAGTGTTGCTTTTTACTGGTATATCTTTACTAGTTATATTTTACTGGGGTGTCTTAAAATAATGCCATCTTAGATTAGATTAAATATGGTGGCCATATTTCATATGGTAGCCCTCCGTGAATTAGGCATAATGGCAGCTTAAAACTAGGCAAAACAATGTGTAAAATATATTTTATTATTAATTTTTTTCCAGTAAGTGTTTTATAAAATTTGACATCCACTGACGAGAAGACTTTCAGTAGGTATGAAGTAGCATTTTTTTTTTAAAGATTTGTTTTTAATTGGGGTATTGGGGGGATGGGAACAGTGCTGGGGAATTAGGGGAAGGGGAACAGACAAGTTGCTGTTGTTTTGTTCTTCAGTCTAGTTGTGGAGGATGTTGCTTC